TCACAAAAAGCCGTATTTCTTCTCTCCGTATACTTTTAAGAAAAAGAGGATTGAAATTCATGGATTAACTTTTAAATTTACCTTTTTTAAAGATGCTTCCATTTCAAAAGGGCTTGAAAGTAGCAGATAAATTTAGCCACTAAAGGTTCAGCTGGAAAACCACCAGCTTAATAGGATAGTAGTCAAATTTTTACATTTTCCAGTGTTGACTTTGGTGAGGGTTATTATGGGCAATGTAGCTGCAAATGCAAATTCAGAGCCAGCCTCCTTCCCTGCCTTAGAAGTTGTATTTCAACATAGCTCATGTCTACAAACTATCTCAAAGATGGACAACAGCTGGGAAGACACAGCTTGATTAAACATGGGAAGCACAAAATCAGGTAAGAGATCTCGTGTTTGAAGACATTACTAACATGGTAGATAAGGAGAAATTGGTAGATGTTAATTTACAGTTTGGTTTCTGAGACACATTTGGCAATCTCTCACATAACTAAAATAAAGACCAGTTTAAAAAGAAAAGGGAAAAGAATAGGTGCTAAATAAAAAAAAGTACTAAAAAAGGGAACAATATGAAAGGCTCTTTTGGACAACTTGCTTGGACAGCAGCTTGGTTATTCATCTATGTTTTTTCCCATGGAAGCTCTTAACACATTGCAATATATAGAAAATAAAATGTTAAAACACGATTCCTTGGCCTTGCCTAGGAATCACAGAAAACATGTTATGAAAGCAGCATGTTATCCCTGGCAACATTCAAGGTCAGTCTGGAGTGGGCTTTGCGCAGCCAGATGATGTCCCTGACATGAGCTGAAGATGTCCCTGCTCATTGCAGGATGGTTGGACTAGATGGCTTTTAAAGGTCCCTTCCAATCCAAACTATTCTATGATTCTATGATTCTATGAAAAGTGATAAATAATAGATACTCTAAGGAAGTGGCACTATCTGATATTCCTGTTTCCATCACCTGGACCCTCACACTTCCAAAACTATTTATTCAAAAAAACTGTTCAGATGCTCCTTAGTTTTTACAGAGAGTTTTGAAATATCACTTTGGCACCTAGAACACAATATGGGGAGAACACAAATACATGAAGTCAGAGAAAGAAGTGCTACAAATCCTACCTGGAATCTCGATGTCCTACATTTCCTCCAAAGCTTTCTGTGGCTGCAAAAGCTGTGCTACCATGAATGTCTGGAAAAGCTTTCAGTTGTCTTCCCTGTGAATTTGTTCCTAACAGACAAAACGTCTTTACTGCCCAATACCTACCCTGAAACCTGTCGGTTCAGCTCAGAACATAGCCAGATGCATGCCGTGCAGTGTTGCGCTCGACATGGTTTTGGCTAGAGCATACCTTCCAGAAAGTGTCTGTGCTTCAAGGGTAGGAGAGACCTTACAGCTTCATAGTTTGCCCCATAGTTAAGAAGGCAGTTGCTAAAAGCACTACCATTGCATCTTAACTTGCCTGGCATCAGCTTCACCCACTGCTTTTTGTTGCACTCTTAACTGGCCTAACAAAATTAAGTATTCTGGGCATCTTTTTCCTTTTCCCAAAAAAATGCGTTGTTGTCAAGTCACTCTTCAACTTTCTTTTTAGCATGCCTAATGGACTCTGTTTTATAGCCAGTAGAAACTACAGTTTTTCCTTCACCACGGAATATACTGTCATCACTCTTCTATGCGAGTTTTTCAATATCCCTTAAACCTGAAATTCTATACCAGCTTTCTGTAGCATGCCAAATATGGCACTGCCATGTGACCATTTTAAACAAATTGATCTCTGGCTTTACTTTTTTAAGAGATGGCCAGACAGGGAAGGGTGTCTGCTGGTCCTGGCTCCAGGTAGTGGCCTTAAACACTTACCTGGAAAATTTAGCTTCTCAGAAAGCGGAGGAGGCCTGGGTTATGGTGGACATTGCCCAGACTGGCAATTCTATAACTGCTTGACTTAAAATAATAAAAAAAAACCACCAACAACAATCTAAGGTTTAGAATTCTTTTTTTTACCTTATCCAACAGAGGTCTAATTAATATGTTACAGAGTAAAGGTATAATTTACCTACTCTTCTCCAACTCTGGTATTCATTTTAGCATGTTAATACGCTGCAGTGGAAAAGCATCGTTTCTCCTGCACTAGGAAGTTATGGCAACATCCTTTTTGAGCCCATTAACCTAAAGGAGGCCTGCCTAGATCAAGTCACCTACTTGTGTGACAAGTGTCCCAGTTATGTCTGTTAAAGACTCTGGAGGAACAAGCTCCTCTTCACTGTTTCTCTTAAGACATTACTTTAATTTTAGAATGCATAGGATACTTTAATTTTAGAATGCATAGAAGTGCCTAACAAATAACAAAGAAACAGTTCTAGGAATTCAATGGAAAAAAGGAAGTTCAGGCATTCCTCTTATCCTCAGGCATTCCCTGTTAGCCCGACAGAGGCAGCTGTCTGCAAAGAATGTCAGCTTTCTAAACTTTTGTTTGATGATACTGAATTCTTCTCCCCGATAGAAAGCCTCTTATCCTGATGAACCCTGTTGTTTTTCTATCCCAAATGTATCCGTTAACTTACATCAAGCCAAGGATGAAATGCGTAAGATTGCGGAACAGTCTGGAGAACTCCGTGAAAATATGAAACAGAATCCCTGGGAATGGACGGGGTGAATCTTGAAAATTTTTAATGGACTTGGACTAAACATTAGTGGATGGGTCACAAGTTTGATTCAATATGTATTGATGTTTATTGTACTCCTGATTCAATAGGTAGTGATGTTATTTTTTGCTGCCTGAGATCCCCAAGGAGATTCCTGGTCAGTCAAGACAGCCTTCTGCCCCTCTTCATTGACCTGCAACACATTGACATTGTCCGTTCCTGCGCTCTTAGGAAATGGCTTGTAAAAAGTAACCCAACATTTGGGACCACCAATACCCTCAAAAGCAGATTCCCAGGAAGCCTTACCAAGTAGCTCTTTGAGCCACCTAAAGTCTGCTCTCCCAGAATCCAGCGTAGCAGCTCTGTGGACAGTTTTTCCCGCATCGATACAGAGTGTAAATTCAACCATTTCTTGACCACTGTGTGCAAGACAGCCACCAGTCCTCCCTTCACCCACAAGACCATCTCTATGTCTCCTAGAAAACAAGTGTAGGAGGGCACCTTTGTTAGGTGCCTCCCTGAGTATCCACATCAAAGAAGTTATCTTCAACGTGGGCTTCAGGAATTTCCTGGGCCTGATCATGTCTGCTCTAGGATAAGTCCCAGTTAGCAGCCGAGAAACTGAACTGGCCCCAAAGGACGACGTAGGGCGACTAATCTAGAGCTTTCCCTTGATTCCTTGTAGAATCATATAGCGGTGTCATCATCCTGGCTGGCTGATGTGTAGCAGACTCCTGCAAGAACATCTGCTTTCTAAGCTTTCCCCCTAGTCTTTACACAGAGGTTCTCAGCCACATCATCCCCAGCAGCAAGCGCTCTACAGTCTGTTCAAGTTCTCCTTTACATAGAGCACTGCCACTCTGCTGTCTCGCCTGCCCTGCCTCTCTCTCCCTCTCTCCTATAAGAGTCTATCAAAGCACTCCAGTCACAGGACTCATCCCAACAAGTCTCACTTAAGCCAATGATGTCGTAGCTCTGGGACTGAGCCAAGGCCTCTGGTTCCTCCTGTTCATTCTGCACACCACGTGCATTAGCATACAAAGATTTCAAACGCTCTCCAGTGTACTCAGTACACCATGGGGCAGAGTGAAAGCTCTCACTAGCACACCGTCCCTCCAACACTTTCATGCCGTCCCTTAGCTTATCACTGGTAAGCCAGGTTTTACTCCTTTCTTTAACCTTGCTGCACGTGCTACGACTCCCCCGTTCTGGTGGTGGGAACCTGAGCTTGTGGGTCACGAGAGGGCACACTGGAGGAGCCTGGCGCTTGTCTGGGAGCCTGACGTACCCAGAGTGCTGCTCTGCAACCGTGGCACTTGTCCCCTGTGCAAAGGGCTCCCCACTCGAACAGCATGGTGCTCCCCTCGCTGGGTCGCCCAAGGGCAATGCTGTCACGCTCCCATGGCTTCGTTTGAGTGTGGCTCCCAAGAAAGCCAGTTCAGGCTCCCTGTGGCACACAGGCAATGTGCACAGCTGCGGAGGGCGACCAGTCATTCCGATTGCCCCAGTGCAGGAGCCTGGACAGGTGAGGGAGCCTTACTTGCACAATCATTGAAGCCAGAGCCCACCGCATCAGCTCTTCTCCAAAATGCTCCCTGACTCTGTGGCAGCTGAGCGGTCAGCACCCTGTGCCCACCTTCCCCACCAAAGTCATGCACAGACACTCGCAGACACAACGTTTGCTTAAAACCATGCCACTGATTGAGCAATTTGTGCAGGGTAAAGCTCCTGCAGGGCACGGACTCTCTCGAAGAGGGAGGGCGGTCGCTGTCCAGGTGGTGCTGGGAGTCTCTGTTGCAAGGCCCCTTGCAACAGCCCCTACAGCTGCATCGGGTCCCACTCCCCAGAGTCTGCTTTTGCTGGGCGGGAAAGGTGCGGCAGCAATTTCACTGCCGATAGAGCAGCATGTTCTCCGTCTCCAGCACCAGCTGCCCGGGGAGTGTCTAGGATGGGCAGACTCTCCAGCTGGACCCCAGTGAACACAGAGAGGCACATGAGAGGCGCCTGTCGCTTGGTCCCTGCGCAGTCGGAGCTGCCAGCAGGATCATCTGGGCCTATGTACCATCGCCGTGGAGGATGACAGTCGTCTTTGTAGTCACCGTAGTCATTCACCGGCTACTGCTCTGGGGAGACCATCCAGCAGAGAACGGTGCTGCTCTCGGCAGAGGGGTGCTGCACAGGGTTTTCCCTTCATGCATTCTGTCCTTTTTTTCTCACCTGTATGAGGCTGTTGTCTGCCATCAGCTGTGAGCCCCACAAACACACCTCTGTGTGCATTCTGTCCTTTTTTTCTCGCCTCTATGAGGTCGTCGTCTGCCGTCAGCTGTGAGCCCCACAAACACACCTCTGTGCATCAAGAGGTCCTCCAGTGGCCGCAGAGCAGCAGTCTGTTGAGGTGATCTTGCAGCCCCATGAATTCATGCAGTGCCTCGGCATGGGCATCCAGATCCTGCGCCAGCTGCTTGAAGAGGTTGAGTGGCTCAGCCGCGCGAATGTCCAGGGGCAAGATGATTTCCTTGGGCACGTTCTCATTGCCAAAGAAGAAGTGGTTGAGGCGTTTCTCCTGCAGGCAGCCACGCAGGTAGCCCATGATGTCCTCCAGCCGCAGCAGGAAATCTCTCCTGCGCTAGCCTGACAGGGGTGTGGTGGTCAGGAGGTGCATCACAGCTGTCTTCCCGGTGTAGGTGGAAAAGCCTGTGTCCAGCAGGACGCGAGCATAGAGCTGCAGGCATCTGAGGTGGAAGCTGTTTTGCGGGACCTGCCTGGCCATATGTGTGAAGAACTTCACCTCCGCCACAGCGCAGCTCTCCAGCCACGTTGTGCTGGGGGTGAAGAAGGCCTCTGTGCCGCAGCAGGAAATCTCTCCTGCGCCAGCCTGACAGGGGTGTGGTGGTCAGGAGGTGCATCACAGCTGTCTTCCCGGTGTAGGTGGAAAAGCCTGTGTCCAGCAGGACGCGAGCATAGAGCTGCAGGCATCTGAGGTGGAAGCTGTTTTGCGGGACCTGCCTGGCCATATGTGTGAAGAACTTCACCTCCGCCACAGCGCAGCTCTCCAGCCACGTTGTGCTGGGGGTGAAGAAGGCCTCTGTGCTCTGCCTGCTCACAAAGAGGTCTGTTTTGCCTTGCTGCACCCCAAACAGCATCTCAATGAAGAGAGTTCTCCTGGAAGGAGTTGTCAGCTGCAGCTTGCAGGAGCGGTTGGAGGACAGCAGCTTCACATGGTAGCGACGTGACTGAGGCAACATCATCCAGGCTGACCTAGCAAGTTTCCGGAACCAGTAGGCAGTTTTCTGCACATCTAGGTAGGAGCTGGTGCAGAGGGTGTGTAGGAGGCTGGGCTCCTGATTCTTCCTCAGCTCCTCCTCAGAGTGGTGCAGGAAGCACAGCATGTCTCCTGGCAGCCGCTCCCTCTGGCAGGTGCACACCTGCTCCACACGGATGTTAAAGGGCCTTCCCAGCATCTGCCCCGCGGTGCACGGCTCCAGGTGGAAGGTGTGCCCCCAGGGGGGCTGCAGGGGCATGAACAGGTGGTAGACACAGTCATCCTCACAGGGACTCCAACCTTCAAAGGTGCTGCCCACACTTATGGCTGGCTGCAGTACCGGGAAGAAAGTATCTGACAAGAGTTCTCTGCAGACTCGAAGGAGGTTGCCCATTAGCTCCGCCACCAGCTGGGACCTGTAGGCCAGGTTCTGCACTGGCCACTGTATGCGCTTTGCAACAGTCCTGCCCAGGTCATTCTCATCAACAGGATCTTCTCCATCACTTTCTATCTGATCCTGCACTTCCTCCTCTTCCACTGTGCTGCTGCTGCTGGAGCTATCCTCTTCACTGTTCCTGTCTAGTTCATGGCTCCGTCCCCTGAGCCACCAGCAGAGCCCGCAGAGCAGGAGCAGGACACCAGTGATGACGCAGAATTGCCACTGCCGCAAGGCAGCGAGGAGCAGGGCTCCCCAGGCCTTTGCTCGAGGAGCAGGGGTCCCCAGGCAAAGCCGCTCTGCTCCGGGCGCCTCTGCTCCAGGCTCCTCTGCTCCAGGTGCCTCTGCTCAATCTCCTGCAGCAGCAGAGTCATCTTCTGGCTCAGCTGCTCCACACAGCGCTGCATGCGCTTGCGTGTGGCCTCATCCAGTTCACCCCGAACCATCCGCGGGTGCTGGGTGAGGCTTTGCAAAGGAGGAGGGAGAGCAGGGGTTCAGTGGG